TAATTTGTTTTTGTATTTTTAGTAGAGATGGGGTTTCTCCATGTTGGTCAGGCTGGTCTCGAACTCCCGACCTCGGGTGATCCGCCCACCTCAGCCTCCCAAAGTGCTGGGATTACAGGTGTGAGCCACCGCGCCTGGCCAGCATGATGAGTTTTGAGCTGGGTATGTCCAATCATTTACAGCCTGAGGGTTATCTTCTCACCATGGAGAATCATGAGAAGATTGAAATATTTCTATAGAAACCCACTGAATATTCTCTCCTTTCCTTAGATAATCTGGCAGCTGAGCTAGAAGCCAACCTCGGCCTCATTGAAGAAATTTCAGGTTATCTAAAAATCCGCCGATCCTACGCTCTGGTGTCACTTTCCTTCTTCCGGAAGTTGCGTCTGATTCGAGGAGAGACATTGGAAATCGGGTACGTGGGCGTGAGTGTTAACTAGGAAGTTCGGGCATTAGAAAAACTTAAGGATTTTTTTGGCTAGTCACGGTGGCTGATGCCTATAATTCCAACACTTTGGGAGGCCGATGCGGGTGGATCACTTGAGGCCAGGAGTTCAAGACCAGCCTGGCCAACATAGTGAAACCCCATCTCTACTAAAAGTACAAAAATTAGCCAGGTGTGGTGGTGCACGCCTGTAATCCTGGCTACTTGGGAGGCTGAGGCAGGAGAATAGCTTGAACCTGGGAGACAGAGGTTGCAGTGAGCCAAGATCACACCACTGCACTCCAGCCTGACAGAGCGAGACGCGGTCCACAAAAAAAAAAAAAGAAGAAAAACTTAAGAATTTTTAAAAAAACAAATAAAAGTTATGTGGCAAAACCTCAGGAGAAAAGAACTTGGAATGTGCCTAGAGGTCCATCCAGCCAAAAATTGTAAAAGCTGTTTTATAGTCGTTCTTGAGAAACAAAAGCAGGAGCAGCCCGACCTTGGTGCCCATCCTCCAAGGGCACAGGCTGGAATTTTTGCTAAATAGGGCATCCGGCTGTTTGGGCTACATTGTAAGTAGAGTTTAACGTGCACAAAATGGACATTTCTTCTTAGTCCCAGTTGTCCATCCTAATTTCTGGGATGGACTCCATCTCAGTGTATTCCAATATATTCCAGCCTTCTCCTTGAGGTCCTAGAAACTCTGTTAGTAAAACCGCAGAAACTCAGACTAGCTGTGTTTCACGCAGATCAAGATTGACTCATAGGCAGGAGGTCTCTGGAAGACCCAGGTTCTTTCCATCTTTGTGCTCTTCATGGTCACAAGATGGCTGCCTCAGCCCCAGCCTCACATCTGTAGAACAGACAGCCAATGGGGAAAGGGACAAAAGGACATGTTAATCAACATGAGCTGGTACGTGATTCGAGAAGGTGGTCTAAACAATATAGTTTAGACTATATTGTCTGCTGGAGTGCACTCCAGCAGACAATGTAGTCTCTGGGCAACAGAGTGAGACTCCGTCTCATTTAAAAAACAAACAAACAAACAAAAACCTTCAGTGGCTCCTTTCTGCTTATTAAGGACGGTCACACGATCTTGGTCTTGATCTGGCATGCAGTATACTAGACGGTCTGGTCCATTGCAACTCCAGCTATTTCCTGTCACCTATTGGCCAAAACAGGCTACTGTGCTCTTCCCTGAGCTCAACTTAGGTGCCTCTGTGTCATCAGTATTTCCCCTGTTTGCAGAAATTGGTTTCTACAAAACCTATTCCTCAGTCCATCACAGACTCACCACCCCTCTTCAAGACTGAGCTGAGCCTCCTTCCTGGCCATGAAAACTTCCTCAACTTCCCCTGTTATCCCCATTTAACAAATATATGTTGAGTATGTGCCAAGCAAGTGGAGAGGATTAGGGATACAGCACTGAACAAGATCAACTCCAGGCATGGCCATACCATCTTGGAGCTGTAGAAGACCAGCTGTTGAATGACTAGATGTGTGTGTTATTTCCATAGGAACTACTCCTTCTATGCCTTGGACAACCAGAACCTAAGGCAGCTCTGGGACTGGAGCAAACACAACCTCACCATCACTCAGGGGAAACTCTTCTTCCACTATAACCCCAAACTCTGCTTGTCAGAAATCCACAAGATGGAAGAAGTTTCAGGAACCAAGGGGCGCCAGGAGAGAAATGACATTGCCCTGAAGACAAATGGGGACCAGGCATCCTGTAAGTCACTGGTCCCCAACCTTTTTGGCACCAGGGACCGGTTTAGTGGAAGACGGTTTTTCCACGGATTGGTAGGGGGTGGGGATGGTTTCGGCATGATTCAAGTGCATTACATTTATTGTGCACCTTATTCCTATTATTGTTACATTGTAATATATAATGAAAGAATTGTACAATTCACTATCAGGTAGAGTCAGTGGGAGCCCTGAGCTTATGTTCCTGCAACTAGATGGTCCCAGCTGGGGGTGATGCGAGACAGTGGCAGATCATCAGGCATTAGATTTTCATAAGGAGTGTACAGTCTGGATCCCTCATGTGCACAGTTCACAATGGGGTTCATGCTCCTATGAGAATCTAATGCTGCCGCTAATCTGATAGGAGGCAGAGCTCAGGTGGTCATGCGAGCGATGGGGAGTGACTGTAAATACAGATGAAGCTTCACTTGCTCGCCCATCACTCACCTCCTGCTGTACAGCCCTGTTCCTAACAGGCCATGGAGCAGTACTGGTCTGTGGCCCAGGAGCTGGGGACCCCTGCTGTAAGTGGTCCACAAACCAGATAATGTGGCTGTCCTCTCTCATCCATCACAGTGGCCCCCCGGGGGTGTTATTTCCTTCTAACAACACATTGTGTGATAGGCTTTCTTACTGAGGGCAGATTCTGCACATTTATTAATATTATCACTATGCTTACTGCATGCAATATAGTACCTGATACGGGGTGAAGTCATACAAGCACTGAATGAATGATGGATGAATGAATGACATCTTCTTATATGTGTATCAGGCTGATGCTGAAGAGTTCAGAGTTGAGTAAAATACCTATGTCAGTCTGCATCTCCTGTGAAGTGACTGCCAAGTTGAAGTTTAGGAGTGCAGAAAATGTATAGAGGGTAATACCCATGAAATGTGAAAGAGAGGAAGAGCTTCCTTTTTTTTTTTTTTTTTTTGAGACAGAGTCTTGCTCTGTCACCCAGGCTGGAGTGCAGTGGTGCGATCTT